TTTCGATTATGTTAAAACAATAACAACCGCAGCTTAAAAACGGTACGAAAAAGCGGCCAACCGTTACCGAACCAACCCAAGCACGTTCGTTACAAAAAATTAAATTTAAGTAAATACAAAAAACTTAACATTTTTAAAACCAACCCCCAAGCTAAACAACAAATGGATTAGCCCGTTTTTTATTATTAAAGTTTATAAGCAAGCCCTAACCGTTAAACTTTCGCTTTAATACCGTTTATTCCCCGTTTTTTATATTTTGTTAATTTAGCGGAACTATTCGGAATTGCCGAAATAAAACGTTATTAATAAAAAATATAACCAACGAGCTACCGGCGTTTTTTTAACAAAAAAGGAAAATACCAACGATAGCAACAAAAAATGGTTTTTTAATAAAATCTTTAACTTTAAAAAAACGCGGAAAGGTTTTTAGTACAAAATTAAATGGCCCGTACCTTACGCCCCGACTTAAAAACCTTATTGCAATTTCGAAAAAGCAAACGACCGCATCCGGGATTTTTACCGTTTGCACCCAAACAAACCCGAACCACCGAATTAATAGCACGAACCAAAAGCGGTACAACTTATACAAAAAACAACGAGCCCGGCGTTCCGCCAGCGTTAAAAGCAATAAATATTAAAACGCAAAAACCGTCCGAAAAAAGTTTAATTGCTACCAGTACAATCCTTTATCGGGATTTTAATTTAAAAATAACGTACCGCACGCCGGCAATACGCAAGCGGTAAGCCAAAATTAACGCGAAAAAACGGCGTTATAGCGCTAAACCATTGCCGCGCGTTAAAACGCGCCGAAGCGCGCAAAAAATAAATATGCGCCCGGAAATACCCAAACGCCGCGCTAGCCAAACCTTAAAACCAAACCAAAAAAAAACAACCAAACGCCGCGTTTAAACATTATTATTTTTAAACCTTAAAAATTTATTTTCCAAAAACGATAATAAATTGTTAACGGTTTGCTTGCCGTTACCCGCCCCCATTACAATAACCTTTTTCATTTTGCTTTTTAAAAACAATAACGATAACGAATTGCTAACGGTTTGCCCGCCGTTACCCGCTTTTAAAAACAATAATAAAAAAAAAATTACTTTTTTCCCGGTATACTTACCAATCCTTTTCGGGGAAAAAAAAAATGGCCGGAAATTTATATTGGGCAAAAAATATTATTTTAAAAAATTGGTCGAAATAACCCCCCGCTATAAGCAAAAAATTCCGGCGCGTTGCTAAATATACGGTATTATTCCAATCGTTCCCGTTTTTGGCAATAGCCGCAAGCTATATAATATATACAATTTCGTAATATTTTTGGATATAAGCTTTTTTAGCGGCATGCTAAATCGTATATTTCGGGTTATTAAAAAAAAAGTTGCACTTTTGCCCGGTCCTTTTTAGGCCGGGAAACGAAAGGAATAATGGCAAAGCTAAGTGCTAGCCAATAAAATGGCGATAGCGCGCCGCTAATACGCTAAAGCAACGAAAAGGGCGGGCTAAAACCAACGTTAAAACTTTATAAAAAAAAAATAAAGGCGGAACGCAAAAA